ATGAAGAGATGGAAATTGGGAGTCAGACTTCTAGAATTTAGAGTTGGAATAGATCTTTGAACTTATCTATTGAAGTGGCCTTTCCTAGAAGTATCTATTAGAATTCTTTTATATTAAGTTTATTGGTACAATTTAGATATACATAATGATTATATTTATCAGAGGGAATTTGTACCTGCACACGATATATCTTATTTATTTATTTATTTATTTATTTATCTGGTCTTTTTGAGACAGGGTTTCACCATGTAGTTCATGCTGGCTTAGAACTCACTTTGTAGCCCAGACTACTTCAAATTCACAGCAATCCTCCTGCCTCAGCCTCCTGAATGCTGGGATTATAGGCAAGCGCCATCATGTCTGGCAGTACCTGATATATCTTGATTCCTCTTTGTTCCCAATCCCCAACCCTCCCTTCAACTCCTCTTCCCCTCCTTATTTACAAAGTTTTGTTTCCATTTTATTCTTCTTTTATCTGTTTTCTTTTCCTTTCCTTTCCCCCTCCCTAGTTCCTCTTTCCTTTTGAAAAATTTCTTCCTTTTTTCACAACATCTGTTGTACATTTTGGTCCTTATTCTTTCAGTCTCTCACACCAGGGAGACAATCTGGTGTTTATATGTGAGTGCAACTTATTTCACTTAAGAGTATGGTTTCAAGGTGCATCCATTTATCTAGAAATGTCTCAAGTGTATCCTTCTTTTTGGCTGAGTAGTATTCCATTGTATAAAAAAAGTATTTTTTTTAATCCATTTCTCAGTTGATAGGCATTGGGGTTGTTTCCAAGAATTAGTCATTACAAACTGTGCTGCTATAAACATGGGTGCCCTTATATCACTGTGGGATGATGTTTTTATTTCCTCCAGGAAGATACCAAGAAAGGGAATAGCAGGGTCAAATGGAACTTCTAATCCTAGTTTTTTGAGGAATGTCCACACTGATTTCCACAATGGTTGTACCAGTCTATACTCCCACTAACAGTGGAGAAGTGTTCCTCCCCCCACTTCTTATTGGTTAATTTCTTGATAATAGCCATTATTTCTGATGTGAGATGGAATCTCGGTGGTTTTCATTTACATCTCTTGAATGACCAGCGAAGTTGAACTTTTTTTTTTCATATATTTGGTGTTTGTATTTCTTCATCTGAGAAGTATTTAACTCAGATGCCCATTTTTGGATTGTGTCTTTAAATTTGGGGAGATCTGATTTCCAAAAATTCTTTATATGTTCTAGATATTACTTTGTCTGAGGGGCAACTGGCCAAATTATTTTCTTACTCTGTGGTTTGTCTTTCCACTGTGTTAGTGATTTCTTCTGCTGCGTGAAAGCTTTGTAAAGGATAAGATACCAGTTGTTGATTCTTTGTAGTAATTCCCATACAATCAGGGGTTTGTTCATGAAATCTTTGCCTCCATCAATGTCTTCTGGAACTCTACCTATTCTTTCACCAGGTTCAGTGTTTCTGTTTCAATATTTAGATCTTTGGGGCCGGGGATATAGCTCAGTGGCATAAGAGCCTGCCTGGCAAATGCAAGGTCTTGAGTTTGATTCCTAGTACAAAAAAACAAAAACAAAAACAAAAAAAAACCTTTAAAGCCAGATGTGGTGGTGCATGCTTGTAATCCCAGCACTTGGGAGGCTGAGGAAGGAGGATCATTGTGAGTTCTGAGGCCAGCCTGCACCACATAAGTGAGTTCAAGGCCAGCCTGAACTGCATAGTGAGACTCTGTCTCAAAAAAGACAAAAAAAATTAAAACTTCGATCTATTTCAATTTTAGTTTAGTGCATGGTGAGAGACATGGGTCTAGTTTTAGTCTTCAGCATGTAGAAATCCAGTTTTTCCAACACCATTTATTAAAGAGGCTATCTTTCTTCCAGTGAACATGTTTGGCCCCTTTGTCAAAGATAAGGTGGCTGGATGTGTTTGGAGTTGTTTCTGCACCTTCTAATCTGTTCCACTGATCCTCAGGTCTTTATTTGTTTTGTTTTACCATTACCACACTGCTTTTATTACAGTAGCTTTGTAGTATAATTCTAAGTCAGGGGTTTTGATGCCCCCGCCTTATCTTTGTTGATTAGAATTGTTTTTGCTATTCTAGCTCTCTTCTAGTTCCAAATGAATTTTAGGAATATTTTCTCTACTTCTGTGAGGTATGCTAATGGTATTTTGACTGAGATTGCATTAAGTTTGTATAAAAATTTGAGAGTATGGCCATTTTCACTGTGTTGATTCTTCCTACCCATGAGCAAGGGATATCTTTTCATTTTCTGGTATCCTCTCCCATCTCATTTTTCAGAGTACTGTAATTTTTAATGTACAGATCTTTTACTTCATTTGTTAGATTGATTCCTAAGTAATGCATTTTTCTGATACTATTGTGAAACGTGTTGATAAAAACCCTACAGAAAATTGGAATAGATGGTCTTTACTCAACCTGACAAAAGCCATCTATGACAAACCAACAGCCAACATCATACCAAATGGACAAAAACTGAAGGTCTCACTCTAAAATCAGGAGCAAGACAAGGATGACCACTATCACCACTCCTATTCAGTATAGTTCTGGAAACATTAGCCAGAGCAATGAGACAAGAAATAAAAGGAATAAGGATAGGAAAGGAAGAAGTTAAATTATCATTATTTTCAGATGACATGATACTCTGTATAGAAGATTCCAAAAACTCCACCAAAGAATTTGTAGATTTAATAACTAAATTTAGTAGTGTAGCTGGGTACAAAATCAATACTCAAAAATTAATAACATTCCTGTACACAAGCAACAAATGCACTGAGAGAAAAATTAGGGAAAGAACTCCACTGGAATTCTTACAGCATTAAAAACACATATTCTGCCATCACCTGCCTCAGTTTTGGGGTTTAGTAGACCTGATGTGGAATCTTGGAGTGTATGTGTGTGGTGCACCCTGGGTTGAAAACTGCTGAATTCTGACATCTTTCTATTAAGGAAGACGAGACTGAGGCATAGAAAGAATGTAGCTATTTTAAATCACACGGGGAATTAAAGAAAGGGGGACAAGACCAAGCTCAGATATCCTGACATCTGGTCCAGTACTACCCAGACCTCCTGCAAAAGGAAATTTATTGTCTTTATTTGTATCCAGGGAAGCTTGGGACAGTGTTGGTGCTCTTCTCCAGGTGTAAACAGGCCCTTCAGATTAAGAGACAGAAGAAACCAGCAAGAGTGAACAGTGCTCACAAAAGGTCCCATTTCTAATGGTGGTTGACTTGGTCTCTGAACCACAAGTTTCCCTGGTCAGAACTGGGTAAAACGTCCTCAAGAATCTCAAATGGGGAGATTACTGAGGCAGTCTCGAGGTTAAAGACAGCCCAACCAATGCCACACTTCTGTATCTGGAAGGATTTCAACTGTCTGGGCCTTTGTACACACAAATATTTGTTTCAATTACTTATGGATCCCTTCTTTCTCAATTTGTGACTGTTTTTTAGTTGTTATCTTGGGAATCCATCTCTTACTTTTTTCTGCTCTCTTTTTTTGGAAGGAGGTTGAGGATGGAACCCAGGACTTCAAGTATGCTATGCAAGTGCTCTATCACTGAGCTACATTCCCAGGTCCTGCACTGTGACTTTGACCAATCACTCTGCCTTGGATTGGTTTACCACAGGATCTGGACAATCTCATGGAAACTCAGGGTCTCTTCCATACATTTTTTTAAAAATTTTTTTTTCAGTACCCGGAATCAAACTCATGACCTCGTGCTTGCCAGACAGGCACTGTGCCACAGAGCTAAATCCCCAGCCCCTTCTATAGATTTTTAATTCTGCTCACTTTACAAAAACTTCTGCTTTCCTATGACAATCACTAACAGGAAATGCCATTTATGTAATGCCTTCCTGCCCCAAATCTACTTTAGGGGAAATTGTGGGAGACCTGCTGCAGCAGAACCATTTCTGCATCAGAGGGGAGCAATTCTTTTTCTCATGTCTTCTGCATTCAGAAAGGGCGCTGGCACTGAAGTCCGAGCACCTCACCTGGCCCAAGGAGGAATGACCTGGTCTGAGGTGGCCTTTAGGAAGCAACTCTAAGAACTGTAGTGGATAGATTAGAGCAATGGTGGCACACATGCCACAGCCAGCTGTTTGTATCACTGAAAGCTCTAGAAGGTGCACCATAATGGGATTAGAGGAAGAGAGGCAGTGGAAAGGGAGAGACTTTATACAAGCAACCACAATATTTATTCCAGGGGAGGAATGATGAGATGTGAATTGGGCCGTGGAAATGGGATGAAGAGGGAATAGGTGGGACGATAGTCCTTTTGGTGAGAGAACTGACAGGACTGAATACCTGAGAGGATATGGGACATGAGGATGAAGTTCAAGGTGGTCAGCTTTGCAGTCTGAGACCAGGGGAACGTGGTACCTTTAATAGGTCGAGGAAAACAAGAGCTATTTCAAAAGAATGTGGAAGAGTATGACTTTAGTTTTGCACCTGAGGGATGCAGACCTCCGTGGGATGTTTCTATTGGGCAGCTGAATATGCAGGGCAGGACTCAGGAGGTCTGGGCTGCAGGTGTCAATTTGGGAGTTTCAGAAGGAAGAAAATATAAGGTGGATCCTGCAGGGGAGGGTGCGAAGAGGACAATGGCCTGAGTTTAGAGGTTCACCTACATTTAAGCGCCAGACATGTCAGTCAAAGGAGGAATTCTGAGATAGAACTAAGGGGGTTGGAGAAACGAAACAAAACAAAACAGGAAAGTACGGTTTGCCAGCCAAAGTAGGGGTTTTAGTAAAGGATGTGGAAAGAGAGAATGAGATGGATTGACAAGAGGCTGTTGCCTTTGGCAGTTAGTTATTGCAGAGAAGACACTGGTCGCAGCGGTCCAGGCTTCAGTCAAGCTCCCATAATCCTAAGGGGAGAGCACAGGCCCTCACATCAAAAGAAACACTAAATCAGGTTTCTGGGTACTTCTCAGGCTCCACAACTTTAGGCTGAGCGATCAGGGTATTGCAGGATACACAAGTGTAATTACTTCACAAAATGTAATACCGGTCAGAATTCCAAATAAACCTCTTCATTTCACAATCTCATCTGGTTCAGAAATAGAAAACAGCAAAAGCTCGGGAGGGCGAGGCAAAAGATCGCATATGTAAAGAATACGTAATAAATATTAATGAAGGGCCCCTTCCCGCCAACCAGGCCCTGGGAAGATGTTCGCAAGGCCCACTGGAGCCACGCCCTCTTATAAATATGCAAATAAACTGCCAGCCGCGCGCTGCCCCGCCCTCTACTCTTCTCCCTCGCAACGGACTCTCCCTTCAAACGGGAAACAAGATGGCGGCGGCGGGTCCGAGTACTCGGGCCTCTTCCGCAGCGGTAGCTACGGCTCTGAGTCGGCGGGGCCGGCGGGGTCGCTGTGAAGAGATGGCGGCAGCAAAGACTGGGGCCCCGGGCCCGGCCTCTGGCCCCGCGTTGTTGGTACTGCCGTCGCCGCCGCCTTCGCGACCGGAGGAGTCCGGCTGCGCCGGGTGCCTGGAGACTCCGGGGGAAGCGGCGGCCCTGCCGTGCGGTCACTCGCTGTGCCGAGGCTGCGCCCAACGCACCGCCGACGC